ATATTATTAAAATATTAGATATGTATAAGATGTACCTGTGCTATAAGTACTTAAAGAAGTGTTGATATAGTTTTATATTTACTTTATATATATGTTTTATCCATTTTTTACATCATTTACATATACGTTTGTATATATACTACATTAGTGAGTAATGATTCTAGGAATTAGGGTAGGGAACTTAGGGTATTTCCTGTTTCAACTTGAGTGGTGCTGAAAACTATTCTGTGGCCTTTCTGCGTCATTTCCACCATATTTCCCATAATTTGTGGTAAACAGTTCAACAAACAGAGCTTAAGTAAGAAGTTGGCAAACATACATTTGTATGTGCATTTGATTGAAAATAATCTTGTGCAGACATTTGAAACATATGTTCGCTTTTTTTTTTGTTTTTTTTGTTTTTGTTTTTTATACATTATCAAAGGAGCTAAAGAAAATCGACAAAGTGACAAAAACATGTTACATAATATAGGCTTTGTTATTAAATATTATTAAATGAAATTATATGGTATATATGTACATATCTATATATAAATGTCGCATAAAATATATAAAATATGAGTAATACATCAATCTAGGAGTTTGTCACATATTCTCTTCCAGACTAAGCTATAGCACAGCCCAGGCGATACTACTTTTTATTTATTATAGACATGTATTACCATTCACTATATATTATTATACACAATTGTAATTTACATTTACTACGATATTTATTGCTACTACATACTCCTTTTTATTACTATTTAGTACAATAACTGAAATGTCTACTACTTTTTTCTACTATTTAGTACTACATACTACTATCTACTACTTTATACTATAATTTACTACTATATATAAAACTACAATAAGTGAACCCAAGCAATTAAGCTATTGCATCCGATTATGAATATCATACTACATATGGGGTTCACAGAAGGTAGCAAAGCCAATGGACGAAGTCTGCTGGCTTTCCATCGACTTCATAAGCCTTTCCAGTTATATTTCAAAATTTCATTTGAGAGCAGCATTTGCAGTCGTTTATCACCTGAGATGGAGATGATGAGCTTAATGAAAAAAAAAAAAAAAACACGCCAATAGCCAATACGCAGTACAATTTGTTTTTATTTCACGTTTTTTTTTTTAAATACATTTCTAATAGCTGGCATACAAATACCAAATCGATTTCAAATTTGAAATTTCAAAAAAGCACATCAACTTATCTTTATTCGATCACTTAAAAGCACGTACATTAATTGTGAATATATAATTGATGGTTGATTGTGTGTATGTCTGTGTGTGTGTTAGTWAGTTAGTTTCTCGCATTAGTAAAATATATAAATATGTATCTTACAGAGTACAAATATGTTACAACATACACTTTGACAGTCGCCTGCCGAAATACAGAGTTTGAATTAGTTAACAAATGTATAGACCTAAGTAATAATGAGAGTGATAAATTCTTTTCGCTATTAGCCATGATCAAAACAATAAGAATGATACACGCGTCCGCCTGGCGTCCCCCTTGGCTCTTCGAGCCATTCCATAATGTCACATGCTCCCCTCGCTGCTGCTGGTTGTTCCTTTCGAGTCGCACATTCCGCCCGAGACGTTGTCATCGCCGCGCACAGAGCCCGACGTGAGTCCTCCCGTAATACCAGTTAAATTTAATTTGTACTGCAAATGGAAATATTATTAATGAGTGAGTTCATTTCTATCAATTTGAAGAAATATAAATTTAGCAATATCTCAGTAGGAAACCAACACCATTTACCCAGTTAAATATTGGAACCGTCAGGTTGGTTCTAGGATCTAAATTAGTTGAACTAAGCCAAAGACATGTCCAGCTGTCCTTTGAGACCCGTAGCCTAAAATATATCTGTTCGTTTAGTAGTGCACTAAACCAGTCTAGCCTACGAATTTGCGATGCTACTACTCTAGTCATACTCTACTAGTCATACTATTCTCTATTTATTTTGTGTGGAACAAGTGAAATTTTGTTTGCCTCTCGGGCAAGTGAATTAAGTGAAGAGTACAATTGTGATCTTACGGACGGACAAACTAGCGTATTTTGCACAAGACAAAACTATCTTTTACTTTGTGAACCGACTCTATATATGGTGATTTGGTAATCGAATCGTACTTACCTTATTTGCGCACTCAAAACATTTCGAGACAACTTTGTTTATCACATTCATAAGATTTTTGGTTTCCCTTATGACGTGATCAACTTTCACAAATGTCGCAGCTTTGCCGACTGTGTGATCTTTCACAGTAAATTGTAGAGCTTGCACACAAGTCGGCACTCTATCTAAAATACTTAGAAGATCCTTCTTGTTATCACTTGCAGGTACCTGAAAATATATACATGTAATTTATACATGTGTTGGATGTATTAAAAATATCATTCGATTAAATAGCTCTTTAATTAATTTTCTTCTAACTTCTTATGAACTCGGCTAGTTTTAGGGTTTAGTAGTGGCTCAGTCTTATTTTGAACCAACAGCTTTTTAACAGCCTTTAACTTGTAGAAGGTCATATTATATCTACATATAGACCATGTTCTCAGTTCAGTGCTCCCTGTTCTGCGTTTGCAGCTCAGTGTTCTCAGCTCTCTGTTCCTAGCTCACGATTTACAGCAGCCTGTTCTTAGCTTTCTGTTCCCTCCTCTCTGCTCTGTGTTCCCACTACTTCCTGTACTCAGTACTTTCTACTCTCGTTTCTCAAGTTGCCCGCTTCCCGTTGTTTCCTGCTCCCTGTTGCCCTGTTTTCTCTTTATGTTCTACGTCCCGTTTTGTGCTTCACGTTGTCTGCCCCATCCTCTTTGTTACTCGTTCCCTCTCCAGATCCCACTCTCACTGCTTTCTGTGCTCTCAACTGCTACATTTTATTCCCTAGTCTTTCTAGCTTCCTGCCTATGCAGCTATGGAGTAGATTGGAACTCTATAAGAATAACAATAAATGTTCGGCATGCCGATGATTTCAACAATTTCTGTCATTCCAAGCTCACACACCTGATATGAAAAATGACGTAAAACTTTATAAAGTCGATTGGCTTCTTCAGCAAAGTATTCAGCTTGTGTAAATAAATCCTGTGTCGTTCTTAGAGAACCGCTGCCCTTGGTAAATTGATACATCAGAAAAGCCATAGCTGACATATTTTTAGCTCGTTTCAAAATATCATTATCATCCGATAGATCGTCCGTCCACTTAGTTGCATCGCCGTTGTTTTTACCCTCCAGCCCGGCGTACTCGACCATTTCTCTCTCATCCGTGGGCGCGGCATAAGGCTTCGATGATTTCATTGTTGTCTCACATTTCTGATAGAGCAATAACAAATCAATTTAAAAATCGTGAACATTTCTAAATTGGTTTAATTTATGCTCACCTCCATTTGGGTATCTATGTCCGCCTTGGTTGTGTCCACCGATGCGAGAATCTTCTTGGCAATCAGTGAGATCTCGTTGATTAGCCATTTCCACATTTCCAAAAACGATTCGAAATTTTCATTCGCTGCACTGCTGTTCGCGTACTTCCACAGAATCTTGGCGGCAATAAATACCTGTGGCCCGTAGATTCTCAGGTTGATTGCCAAGCACTTGGCATGCACCTGCAGGCCTTCCGTCGGTGCGATGTGCTGCAACAATTTGCAAATGTCGAAAATGTGATCGCAGCAGTCGTGAAATTTCGCCGAGCATTGATTCAGGTTCTCCAGATCGTGTGCCATGGCCAAGGCATAAAACGATTTCACAATCTTCTTGCAAACGTTCAGCGACTCGTTGAAGTCGGCGATCTGACTGGACACAGATATAACAAGCTGCTTGCACAACTCCTGCAGACTGCCGAGCATGCCCAGCTCCGGATCCCTGCTCTGGATCGGTGCGCCCACCCCTCGATTATCGTGCTGATCCTTTATCAATAGATTCAAATACATTTCAAACTCGACCTTGCAGTTCTCACAGTAGATGAGTATGCTCTTCCGATGCTCATGACTTATATAAGGCGAGTCAGTAAAGTCATGCGCCTTCTCGAACAGCTTGTCAAACGCCACGGACAGCTCATCCCGCAGGTCCAGACTCTCGTAGGTTAGGTGTTTCTTAAAATTTGTATTCTTTATCATATGACTGCCCACAGTCGGAGCTAAGTTCTTTTCGCTCTTCCAGTCCTCATCATCGAACAGAGAATACAACGCATCAGGATTGTTGTTGCCCTCCTTGTTGCTGTTGCAGTCGTACTGAATCGACTGCAGCTTGAACTTCTTAATGAGGTTTATAATGCGCTTAATTGTCGTATAGATGCTCTCGTTCTCATAGTTCGAATTGCAGCGCGCATTGCGAAAGGCCATGTGCTTTGCCGAGTCGAAAATACTATCCTTTATGACGAAATGTATCAAGTCCATGGCCCGTCGAATTTGACAAAAGACGGTGTCACGATTCTCTTTAACTATCACGCAATCGCTGTGTATCAAACTATTCTTTGACGATGTCAGTAGAATTGATATAGACTTCTCCAGAATTTGGCGTGCCGAGAACATCTGAGCACGTCTGCGCTCCTCCTTAAAAGAGTTACGATGATGTCCCGTCAAGTAAGCCAGTTCGATCATCTCGGTACCAAAAATAGAAAACGCACGCACAAACTCCGTAAAATTCATAACAGACTCTAACTTTTCTAAGCTCTCCGATGCTCGCTTCTTTGCTGTGAGCAACTTCTTGACCACAACAATATCGACGAGCAGTAAAATTCGCGTTATAGACGATAGTAGAGATCTGGCTGCCAATATAATGGCACCATAATCCTTCAAGGGCTCGATATGATGACGAACCTCCATGCCACTCAAAGGCGAAAGCTCACAAAGCTGTTCAATCGATTTTCCTAAAATGAAGAATACAATTTAAGTGAGTCATATACATATTACTTATAGAGTGTATATTAAAGTTGAACATCTTAAAGTATTATATATAATATAATATTTTTATAGAAATCCTTACCTGCATCTCTCGCCTCTCTGGCCGCCTCATACATATCCACTTTGATATCCGTATTTTCCTCTGCAATTATTTCACCAATCGTTATAAATCTCTCCACAGATATACTCAAGGAGTGTCCAATATTTCCAAAAGTTGACATGATGTGCTCGTTGTCAATATCACGTAGTCGAAAGCGCTGATTCTGTAAGTAATAAACAAATGAAATAATATTAGATATAAGAGAGAATAGATATTACTATGCTAGAGATAAAGCCAGACAGAGGCAGTGGCATAACTATGTAAGAGCTCAAACTGCTTTACTCACATCATTTATCATTGCTCAGTGGGAGAGGGAGTAAGACAATATGAAGTTGTGGTAGGACCTGTAGCTTTTTTCTATGGGCCTCAAAGTCAAAAAGGCAATAAACAAATGTGTCTCAAATATTGACGAAAAATGTACAGTCGAGCTAGAATCTATTACACATTTACTTTACCCTCAGTCAATCAATCAATCATCGAACCTTAGCTATAAAAACGATTATATATGAGGTAGGCTATGTCTGGTAAAACACTTAGTTTAAATTGCAAAAGTCTGCGATTGTCTACTTGATATGTACGAGAGTATATATGTATACCATTCGAGTACCATCTAAATTGCGTCTGTATGCTTATTGATATTCAATTAACTACGTCTATATAGAGAGAGGTATATAGATTATAGACTAATCAAATAGCTATTCCATCACATGCAATTTTTATCCAATATCACTTATATCAACTTACGTTCACATCAAGCGCAGCTGGAGGTAGGCCATACATTTTTATAGTGCTAAATTCCGTTTAAGCTGCTTCGTATTTGTGTTTTGGGCTTCGCACATTTATATTTAATGTGTATAAAATTATTGATTTTTCGTAAACAGCCTCTGTGCCTAGACAATATATTTTTGAGTGTTGTCTCTTTAAAATAGTTTATCTATTATTATTAAGCGTCAAGTTTTCTTTAATTATCTATGTACATTTTGTATTAATGTTTTAAATAACGAAAAAAAAAACAACAGTCAACTTCAATTACTAACTCTGATGGTCACAAAACACTTGCGCACCTCTTTACATATATGTATATAGGTATATAAATATACATATATATCAATTTCGTATTGGGATTTGCGCACGAATTTCCTCTGCGCAGTTAACAAAAGTGTTAACAGCAAAGAACAGTTACTTTCACAGGTAACATTACAAAATAACTGTTTAATTTAAATACTTTAATTTTAGGTTAAGTTTTTAAATTGTTTAAATTTTGCATATTTTGTATAGGATTATACAAATATTTGAAGGTTCCTTTCTTATACAGTTAAATTTCATAAATAAATATATGTCGGAATGAGATTATGAAAAACTAATTATACAGGGAATTGTATAATAGCTCTTGCATTAAAAAAAAATAATTTTTTACATTTCTTTATAAAATACATATATTTATTTACAAGTTACAATGTAATCATCAATATCAAACAAATACTATTATTTACTTAGGTATGTACTTCAAAAGCCGAAGTTCATGTGAAAGCCACACGGCAGTGCTTAGGAGTATCAATGAACCAGATTGATGAGCTGTTGCCAAAGGCACAGGTACATAATTTAACAAGGTAGTTACACCTAAGGTAGCTTGGGTCCAGGCCATAACAGCGACCGCATTGATAGCCCACTTTGCACGCTTGGGCAGTTTCTGTCCTCTCATTGTCAGCCACAAGGCTGTGATCAATGATACAGTTGTGATGCCTAAGATGCGATGGTTAAATTGAACCGTTGTTGGGTTTTCTGTAACATTTCTGAGTATTGGCTTAAATTGCAGAATGTCATCGGGTATCCAGTCATCACCCATTTTCGGAAATGAGTTGTAAACCAATCCAGCATCCAGTCCAGCCACAAATGCACCAGAGATTGCCGTCAGGAACACCATGCCTTTCGTTAAGTGCGACAGCATTTTTATTTTAGGTATACGCTTTGCTGCCGACGTCAATGATTCCGCTGGTATCAATTTCGACATCGCGTTCGATAAGAATAACGAATATAGCACAAATGCTGCAGCTAAATGGGAGGCTAGTCGATATTGAGAAACTCGAGGCACATCATTTGGATTATCAAATCTGTTCTCCAATCCGGACTTAACCATATACCATCCCATCAATCCTTGCAGGCCAATTAATGTTCCCAATACCAGAACCATTTTCTTTGTTTTTGCGCAAAAGTAGCCCTTCTTCCAGAAGTATGCGGCAGGCAGTATGAAAAATGCTCCAATTGCACGACCCCACATTCTGTGTATATATTCCATTATATAAATAAATTTAAACTCGTCCACAGTCATTTTGGCATTCTTTCTGAAAAAAAAACATTAGTATTTAATAAAAAATTAACTTGCTAATTTATTATGTTTACTCACAGCTTAAATTCTGGATACTGTTGATATTTCTCAAACTCTTTAATCCATTCATCTCGATTTCGTGGCATATGCTCGCCAATCAAGTTCCAAGATACCATTGAAAGGCCAGACTCAGTCAGCCTTGTCACGCCACCTTTATGAAAAAATGTTAATTATATTTTATGTTTATTATAATACTTTCCACTTACCCAGTCCAACAGCAACGAAGACCATGCCACTGCATCCTAGAAACCATTTGCCGACTGTTTTATTTGGACTTGACTTAACTATTGGGTTCACTGGCGGAGCTGGCGTCGGTATATGCTAAAATAAATGAGAAAATCGAATTAGTAAGCTGATGATCGTAAAAATAATATTAATATTACATAATAGAGTCCAAAATAATTGTAAAAGTAAATAGGAAATCCAAACAACAAACAGCATTAGCTGCAATTATTAAATATAATATAGAATTAGTAGATATACAAGAATTACTTTATATTTGTCGGAACCGCTTTAATTTAAAGTCAACGTTTTAATATGCCTTTCTGTTTTTTTTATTATTTACTTTAGTAAAAAGCCGGGTAGATAGCAAGAAAAATATAGATTCGTTTCGTTTCGCAAGTTGTTCAACAACTTAATTCTTTTGAGGTAATAAATATTTTGGGATCTATATGTGCAGAATATATATTCTGATGTTTCTTAATATTATTCTTTTTTCTTTAGTCAATAAATAAAATTATGAGGGAATTAAAAAACTCATTACGACTTACGTTGGCTTGACTTGCTACTTACTTTGATCTGGGTTTCCGCGACTGTTTGCTGCAATCGGCGAGATGGAAGCATAAGCCTAAAAGCATTAGACCTTTGATACATCGACCGAAGCATTATTGAAAGGAATAATTCTATATTTCACAGAAGGAGGCTTATATATTTATGTTAAAGTCCTTTCATATAATAGGTAGAGATGTGCATAATAACAGCAACTAATGTATCGACTAAACAAAATAATCATTTTGATAACTTTTGTGGCCTGTTTCCACTGCGGATGTATTAACGATATGATAAAACAAAATAAATATTTTCATATTAGTTAGGTATGTTAGTTCTTAAAACTTATTTAAATATAAAGAAAAACAAAATAACTTTTCAATTACAAAACACGACGCCGAATGGCGACTGTTTAAATTCATCGTTTTATATCGATACTAGAACTACCGCACGTGTGACTATATATCGAAAAGGGAATCTTGCATCTCTATAGTCGGCTAGACGCTGCCTCTAATATCCACATTCGTGCTTATAAAAGTATTTTAAGCGGCATTAATTTACTAAATCGTTTGCCGGCAATATGAACATGGAGGATTTATTAAGCACACAATTTGTGAAGTTAAAAGAAGCTATGGATGATCTTTTTGAATTGAAAAGCGCTGTGGGTACACAAAATGAAATTAAGATCAACTGAATACCTAAAATATTTGATTTTTTATAGGGACATGTTTTGGAATTGAAGCAATCATCAGGTGTACTAATGTTTGTAGCCCTGAAGCACGCAAACCGGAAAGTCAAGCGGAATATTAAATCTGGGCGAGATGAATTACATTTACAAAAATCTAAAGTGGATCTGAGCAGATTGCAGTTGCAAAATCTGCTGTATGAAGTTAGCCATTTAAAGAAGGAAATCGTGCGGTGTCAGAAATTCAAGAGTCGCGATACCTACTTGGAATTGTTGTCAGATAAAGAATATGCCTCAAAGTTTGCCGATGAGGGCAGTGATAAGACAAATATGTCCGATCACCAAACGCATTTGTATCGTTTGGAATGCGAATTGCGATTGCGTAAAGAATTGGATAATCAGTATAGCGCCTTACTTACCTCAAAACAGGAGCTATTGCAGGATAATTTGAAGCAGACACAAAAATATCTCTCATTCGCTCCAGCCCTACGCACGCTCCTCGAATCAACCAAGCCCTTGCACGATGCACTGCAGCTGTCCCTCGATGTCGAATGGAAATTAAGCTCAATATTCAAGTATTTGCCACGAGCTCTGTACATATTGTTTATCAATTTACAAGCCCTCCAGCGTACCAGAAAAGAGTTCGCATCGAAAGTGGTTGGTTTCGAGAGTGATCAGCAAATGCAGGAGTTGCTTTTAGAAACAGAAAATACATTGAAGGAACGTCGGCATTTCACCGAGAAAAGTAATTCATGTGAAGCTGTGCCTGATAATACCTTGGATCGTGTCTTGAAATGTCATCCTCTTCATATACATCTAGTTGTAAGTTGAGCTAAACCGTCTATAAGGATATTCAGCATTGCTGAACCATTTTAACTTATTTTTACTTCAGATTGACAGTCCTGATAAGTCTTCTGAGCTGGTATTAATTGTGAGATATTGGGAATTGCTTAAATGTGTAACCGTTCGGGCACAACTAAACAGCACAAACAACTCCAATTTTCAAGGGTTCGTAATAATCCTGTTAGTACTTTATTCAATGTAATTTAAGTTTAATTTTCCTCAGAGATGCCAATTTGGTTGAGGACCTGCTCGGTCATTTATATCCGGATGATACAGGAGATCATATTCCTATTCCAGGCATAGAATATGAGGTGAGACAAAAAATGAGAAACTAATTATTGGCAATTTAGCTTTTACATGGCATCTGAATCTTCGAAATGCAGCAGTAAAAAGACTTTTAAAAAAATAATCTATTGTATTATTTAACATCCAATAACTTGCTCTAATTTATATTTACAGCTGCAAAACTTAAATTTAACCGCGGAGCAGTGCCTGGAATATTTGGTTGAAAATGGATTCGGAAAACCATATTGTTGGCTGCAAAGCATGTGCTCGATAGCAACAGTCAACAAGAAGCAACATTTCAAGCATGAATTCAATTTGCATAAGTGGATTCGCAAAGTTTTTACGCGGATCTTGAAACGTTGGCGATCGTGGCTACGGCTAACTCAGCAAATTCGTGGTTTGACCTATAAAGATGTCGATCTGTCTGCCTCAAAGGAGAATATTTATCCAGATGGCTTATCGTGCAGCCTGGTGCAGTGGACTGCAATCTCCAGTGAGGAGTTTAACATCCAAAACGCTGGATTAATTTACAATTTGACGCCATCGAATGGAATTACGTACACTTCCTATAGGGCTGTAATTGTACGTGGATCTGCCAAAATGGAGTGCTTCATTCGAATCCCCAGCAATTATCCCCTAGATATTCCACTTTGGATCCTAAGTGTACACTGGAATGGACGACACACCTCAATGAACAATGCGGCTATAAAAGTGAGTTTCAAATTATATATGTTGTTGACTGATGCTGAAATATTTCAACTCGTTTCACAGATGATGGAATTTTGGACGAACTCCTTGCAGCCGTCACAACTGAAGAAGGGCAATCGACTGCTATACTCCCAACTGTTTCGTACCATATATAGTTTCGATATATTCCTTGAAACGGAAGGTGCCATGCAGACAGTTCGGGAATACAACAAAGAGAAACCATATATTAGTACATTTACGAAACGAATTCGTTTGCGTCCATATAAGTACATAATGAAGGGCTCTACATTTACATTTAAGCAATAAATAAATATAAGTTTTTAACAACGCCAATATGAATATTTAAACCAAAAAAAATTTATTTGTTTAAGTAATTGCTGACCCACATTTGATGTGGCCCCAACTATTTTAGTTTAATTTCGTAATGGATACAATAAATATTCATGAGGATGAAAGTTGATCTTTTGTGATACTGTCGCCGTCGCCGTAGCCGCTACGGACCCAGTTGGCAACGCTGAGCCGGAACTGTTGTCAACGATTTCGCGACTCTCATCTGGCATTATTTTGTCAACGATATGCTTGCCAATTAAGCCGTCTTCGCCTAGAAAGCATACTGAATATCCATCGTACCACGCCTCCTGATCTTTAAGGACCTCTTGCAGCTGCCACACTTTGTACTTCCAAAATTGAAACATTACTTTTAAGCCCGATATGCCTCTCACTCGCCATCTGATCCGAACCGTACAATCGTCCGGGTGTTTCGTTATTTTAAGGATCTCAAATTTAACATACGCATACTTCAGATGACCAACGGTTCGTAGAATAGCTATTTGCTTAACATAGTGGTACAGACCTACCGTATATTTGCCAGTTATGTTATTTTGAAATATTAGATTTGGGCTATAAATGGAGTAATCCAGGGGTTCGACGAACAGCTTTGGCAACGTACTCTTCAGCACGTTGTAGGCGCGATCTAAGTCCTCGGCGCTTTTATTGGACTTGTTATCCAAAGCCGGGTTATTCTTTGGTTTGGTCTCACGATTTCCATCAGAAGCCGTTTGTGTAATATTGCATTTTTGAATTAAAGGATTTGTGCATTTCACTTGTGTTACGTATAGCCGCCGCAGAATGGACGTCCATGACCGCTGCCTGTGACACCATCCATTTAGACTAATAATCCGGGCTCCACGCATCATTATGATTGAGTTCTGCACAAACAGCGACCGTAGTGATTGCATTACATATGTTTCAGGATACAATTTAGAATAGAACCTTCTTAAAAACTACGTTCTTATTTTAATGACAGGTCGAATAGATCAGTTCTCAACAATTCCGCGTATTTTCTATAAATGACAATTTATATAATATAATCAATATTAAATATTAGCTAAGGTTAGAAAACGAAATTGCTTATGATAAGTACCATAATGATAGAACTGGAATATCTATAATCTATCGATAGGTAGCACACATGATATTGTTGAAGAATATCGATAGCCCTGTGATGGAATGTAAGTTGAACAACATCGGTCACGGGAAATTCCGATAATAAAAGCTCAACAAATTATCAACAATCAATGTGTTGACAACATATGGAATTTGTAGAACATGTAACTGATATAATCAGAATAGACGGTGTAGGTTTTTAAAGCAATAGAGAAAATGAATATTTAAGTAATTTGTAACCTGAGATTTGCATTGAATTTTGAAAAAGTTACTTATTACTCAATTACACACTGATCTCCTATTTTTTCAATATTGTATTCTTGAGGCTGCACATTATTAAAATAATTGTGTATTATCTCAAATAATGCAATATATTTTCTGCAGATCCTTAAAATTGTGGACAATTAAAACTAAGTAAATATTTAAGTACATATAAATATTTACTTACCATAATCATATCATATATTATGAATAGCATCAATATCGATTCGATTGTGACAGTGAAAACGAGGCATTATGTATTGAAAAGCCGGCCAGTGTTCTTATTGAATCACCCTGTGCTTAGGAACATGATGTTAAGTAAATTATATTATTTGTCTAGTACCAAGGTCTGGATATTTGAAAATGTCTAGGTTACTATTTTCAGCGCGTAGATTAATGCCGCAAGTAAGTATAATAACAATCCAAAGATTATGTAAGTAATGATATAATGGTATTTTAGAAAGAACTTTTAATTGCCGGCACGAGCATCGTTAAGCAATTGAGAGGAAAAGCCTCCACGCCAATGAACACAATTGTGATGTTTGTCCCACAGCAAGAGGTAAGCGAAATATTAATTTGTTATATTAAACAATCGAAACTTTTACTATGACAATATTTAATAAAGGCTTGGGTAGTGGAACGTATGGGAAGGTTTCATAGAATTTTAGATCCCGGTCTCAATATACTTGTTCCCGTCGCCGATAAAATCAAATATGTGCAAAGCTTAAAGGAAATCGCGATAGATGTACCCAAACAAAGCGCCATTACATCCGATAATGTCACACTCAGCATTGATGGCGTGCTTTACTTACGCATTATTGATCCGTATAGAGGTATACCTTACTAACTATTACACAATTCATTAGAAAAGTTAAGCACATCAAGTTTGTTCTTTTTCTAGCTTCCTATGGTGTAGAGGATCCCGAATTCGCTATAACTCAACTAGCGCAGACGACAATGAGATCTGAGCTTGGTAAAATGTCATTGGATAAAGTGTTCCGCGAGAGAGAATCCCTGAATGTTAGCATTGTCGATTCCATAAATAAAGCCAGCGAAGCTTGGGGCATTGCCTGTTTACGTTACGAAATCCGAGATATTAGGGTAACTATTTAGTATTTAAATTAAGTTCAAACACATCTGATATTCTTGAAATCGATTAGTTACCAACTAGAGTCCATGAAGCGATGCAAATGCAAGTCGAAGCTGAAAGAAGAAAAAGAGCTGCTATTCTGGAGTCGGAGGGTGTTCGAGAAGCCGAAATCAATATTGCTGAAGGCAAACGAAAATCAAGAATATTAGCGTCAGGTGTGTACAACAGTATATCTATTCAGGCACTGCTTAAGCTTAATTTATGCAAATGTATAAATAAATTATAATTTCAGAGGCTGAACGGCAAGAGCACATTAACAAGGCCAGCGGAGAGGCTGCTGCCATCATTGCAGTCGCCGATGCACGAGCTCGTAGTCTACAAGCTATATCAAAATCTTTAGCACATACGGTAAGAGCAAAATTCAACAAGATGAGACCTATTTAAGAAAGAAAATATGAATGTGCCTATTACCCAATTCAATTCCGGTTCGGTGCATAAATCCAAAAACAAAGTACAAAAATATGCCTAGACAAAAACAAATACTTGGTTAGATGATTTATGTAGGTTAATTCAATATCTTTCATATACTCTTATCTTGTATTATAGGACGGTAGAAATGCAGCATCTTTAACATTGGCCGAACAATACATTGTCGCATTTGAGAAGTTAGCAAAGTCGAACAATACGATGATATTGCCATCAAATCCAGGAGATGTAACTGGACTTGTTGCGCAAGCTCTGGCTGTGTACAATGCTGTCTCTAAACAGGGCTTTGCTTTGCCTCCACAAAGCAATGAACAACAACAACAYCTTAAGAAAAATGTAGAATACAATCAACTGAGTGAAGAAAAGAATGCTGTAAAAATTAATATTGAATAAAATCAAATTTTAGTAACAAATCACAAATCGTTTGTGATTATTTGGTTACACTTGTTTATTATAATAAAATATACATATATTTAGAATCAATTTCCAATGAGTTAGCAGCTTCAGAATATTTTGTTTTTATAAAGTTATAAATTTGTTTTTTTTTTCTGAATTTATTCTAATAAAATTGCTGAAGTTTACAAAAATTATAAAAAACCTGTAGCTTCAAAAAAAAAAAAGAATATAATTTTAGATATGTATAATTGAAATTAATTTGTTCGCAAAGCTTTTTTAATAATTAAGTACAAATCACATATGGAATCTATAAACAGGTACTTCCAATTAAAATAAATTTGTTACATTTATTTTGATGTATTGTTTTAAATTTATATCTGCTCAAGTTATTAAATTTGAATATTAAGAAAAATCTAAACAATTACAATTATAAATCCGTGCGTAGATATTTAAGTTTTCTGACATTTTTAGTAGCCGATGGATGACAGCATTGCTCGAGTGAATTCACCTTGGGAATGTTAGTTACTTGATAGACCTCTTTGATGGGTGCTTCAATAGCATTTTCCAAATCTGTTTGGGATATTGCATTCTTCGGATCGGCCATTTGCTTGAAAAAGAATAGATCAATGGCAAAGAGAATTGCGCAGAGAAACGTCACAGCTCCCAGGGAGTAGCCAAAGTCTAAAATATTATCTTGTAACTCCTCAATAATACCAAATATTAGTAGCCCTAAATAAATATCATATTTAGACAAATGCAATTCGAAAGCTAAAGCAATATTAATATATACCTTGTATGATAAAAAATAATACTCCAAAACTTAGTAAAATTATCTCAGTAATGTGATAATTCCTAGTTTTCTCTTTGAATCTGTATGAGAATTGTAAAATATGAATTTTATATATTTAGGTATTTTTATTCTTACCTCGATAGCAATAAGATTGACGATATAAATACATAGCCTATATAGGCGAGATCACCAAAATCATCGGCTTCTTTTGTCAAAGAAATCGTATTCAAAAGCATCCATTCCCTTAGGTTCTTCTTATTGCTCGTTACCAAACGCTCCGAATAGCGGTCGGATAACTTTTTGAGAATTGTTGCGGACACAGTGACCACCTAAAGGTGAGGTAATTTTTAAAAAAAATTTAATATTTAATNCACTGACCAAAGAACACATAGATGAGACATGTAGAACAAACTTTTTCACCACCGAAAAAATGTGCATTAGGGACTACTCACCTTCGTAGTTGCTCGGCTCCGTCTCTTACGGCTCGAGCAGTGAAAATACAAGACTACAAAGTCAGTTCGTTGCGAGCGCTGAAACGAAATGGTCCCATTCTTATATGAAGCGATGCTATGCGCTATTTGTCCTACTCTCTCTCTCTCACTCTATCTCTCTCTTTGGTCTCTCAAATCACCGAACTCAGCAGCGCACAAAAATTGAATRTTGTTCGCGRCGATCCCAGCTCTTTCCTCTTGAGTGAARGGTATACCGAAATCATAAAAGCATTTGTCTTTGGTCAGTGACAAATCTCAATTGCGTATATGGGTGTGGTAGCAGTACAGTATTTTGCAAGTATTTTTCAAGGTTACTGAGCGCATTATTAAAATTTATAATTACTATGTATAATCTATATATAGAATCTATATATTTATAAAACTTCATTGAATATAAGTTTTAGTTATATATACTCACAATTTGAAGAACTTTAAGAAATATGCAAGCAGCAAACTTCATTTTGATTTAACACAGACAGAAAAACTCTGCTTAAGATTCTCTTCTCAGCTAAACAATGGGAATTACATTGTTCTTGACTGCTCGCTAATTAAGAATTTGCACGAGTAGAAAAAATAATATGAATTTTTGTGAGAGTTCCGCCAAAAAGAATTAGAATTTGCTAAATTTGTATTTATTCTATACAAAAATTATAAACCCTATATAAAGATAAAATTTAGAATATTTTAGTTCGATTTAGTATGAGAGGGGAAGGAGGATTAAAACACATAGTTTTCTATAGATTTAATTTTTTGTTTAGTTTTTTTCTGACACATTTTTGTAATCCATTGATGATTTAGTTATACATGTTTTATTTTATTTATTTATGTTTYTTTGACACAATTTTTATTCATTTATTGCTTAAAATTATGATTATTTTCTTCATATATTTATGTTTATTTTTATAGAACAAAATATATGATTGCTTATCAGTTAACTTTAACGAACGTTTCAGAGTCAATTATCTTGAAAATGTCCTCTCGAAAGTGCAGCAAGTTCTCATTGAATAAATTGCTGCTCTCACAATGTAATTTTGCCATAACTGGTTTAATGTTCTCAATCTGCGCTGCATTCGCCAATTCTGTGAAATATTGCATCTGAAATGAAATAAAGACATTTTTATTACTGTGTGGATTAGATTAGTTAATCTCAAGACTCACCTGATTATTGCCTAGCATATGTGCCTGTCGCTTTTTAAAGCCCTGGGCCAATAGACTTTTCACCTTGTTCACTGTTTCCTCGGTCATTTCCTTTGCTGACGGCAATTGATTTTTGCCATAGAAGTAGCTGTAGACAAAGCGTGCCTGCAGATCCATCATCTGCGCGGCGCACACATAGAATGGCAAACCAATCAGCGCCATTGAGGGATTTCGTATATTGATGCACTGCTTATAGAGCATTTGCACCCAATTGTCCTCGACATAGATGCCTGCATTAATGCTGAGAAACGGAAAGGAATACTTATAGCCGGTGCAGTAGAAAATCGTATCGAATTCCTTGTAGGATCCATCCACAAAATATGCGCCATTCTCGTTCAACTCCCTGACATCCGGTTTAGTCGTGACATTTTCAAGGAATATCGAATTCGAAATACCCTCCAAATGGTGGCTAAGAGTAACTTCCTTTGCCGCCTTCGATATGATATTCGATAAGTCCAAGGCACTTGGTCCGCCGCCAATCACCAAAACGCGCTTGCCTGTAGGAATCGTTAGAAACTAAAAGTAAATTTGATAATATAATATCTTCAATCTTAAAAGTACCTTGGAAAACGTCGCTTTTTCGATAATCATGGCTGTGCATGTATTCGCCTTTAAACAGATTCGCATTCGGGATTTGTATATAATTCGGAGTATGATAATGCCCATTTGCTATGATTATTTTATCAAAATAATAATATTTCATAACATTTGTCAAGAGATTCTTGACAAGGACCTTTAAAAAGGTAAATTAAAACAGATTAGATTGTATTCTTTTATAGTATTTTTCTGTCTAGTGATTTATATTCTATATGCTACTTACTTGCCATTTATCCTTCTTCTTCAAGACCCGCAATACATAGGATTGGAAAATTATATATTTTCTCAACTCGAAATGATCAGCATAACGATTCAAGAACAAGCAAATGTCTTGAGATGATATATAGGAATCTATGTTCGCGCCGATCTCAAAATCCGGAAATCCCATCACCTCCTTGGGTAAATTAGTGCTAAATATATGGAAATATAGTATATTTAATTACACTTTTACAATTTAAGGATATAGTTATACTATATGGATATATTCCAATATTAATATATAGTCGATTACATACCGCAAATTCTCATACATACTGCTGTGCACGTCGATGCCATTGATTGTTCCAGTATTCTCGTTATAAATCCATGTGCCACCGATTTGATTTGAAAGTTCAAAAACTGTCGGAATTTGATTATTCTCAAGTGCACGCCGAGCACAGCAAAGTCCAGCGGTGCCAGCCCCAATTATGCACAAACTCATTATTCCAGACTTCGGATCGATGTTGCTCAATGCAAGCGCTTTAATTGAATATTACGATTATTTCCGTTGCCCTATTAATTTATGTATGCATGCGAGCAGATGAGCAAGTAATCTACACCGCAATCTCAAGCTTGATTATACCCGTTTAGGCTTGCTAGAGTGAGTATATTAGTTTTTTGCAACGTTCATCAGGGTAGATAGCTGAAATTCGGGATGCCAGCTCGAGTGTATACGCTCATTGAAGCCGCGGCATCTATTTAATCTTCAATATATTCCCTATAATATTCTGCCCATACTAAAAATAAACTCTTATTGTGTCTTATTGTGTAGCTCGGGTATTAAGCAGTCGGTGGCACCTGTTTCGACTGCTTTTCTTTGTCTGTATTGAGAATGTTCTCGTTTTCAACATCAATAACAAATCGCCATTGTGCGTGCATATATAGCAGCTACATATATGTAACAATCAGAAATTTTAAGTATCTCCAAGAGCTGAATACCGGAACGGCACTTATTTGCCTTAATATATTTAATATTTCAATGGTATATTTATCAGCAAAATATTTTCCGTTGAAATGCAATGATCGACTTGCAGATACTCTGCTCTTAAGAGTTTATAAATATTAAATAATTCAATTGCATTTTGATTATAGTTGGCCAAACCCAATCATCAATCAGCTATTGAATATGTATGAATTTTTTAATTCATGTGAATGTCCATATGTTTAAGCCGAATATTCCCTATATTTGCAAATGCCAAAAAGCCAAAGATCTACAAAAGTGATTCGTAGTGGCGTAACAAGTCAGATGGAAATTAATAAAAAATATTATACTTACTTCCTTATATTTAAATAATTGATAAATTGATTTAAACAATTGATAGGAAAAGTACAATAATATCATGTTTTAATAACAATTCTGAAAATAATCTTTCATATTTTCCAATTTTCTCACATAGTCAAGTGAGATCAGGGAGTGTCTAGACATTAGTGGGGAGTAGAGCTTACATACAATATTTCATAAACATTTGTTCAACTATAATAATTGCTAAACTTGTATAATAGTAGTTATTTCTTTCTTTATTATATGGACAATATATATTAAATTCAGATTTAATCTATTAGTACTTAAATCACTAATTTAATAATAACATTTGTAGCGGCACACCTGTAAGAAGATCAGAATTTAATTAAGCATATCAAATAAAAAAGTAAAGTTCATAAACTTACCTCGAATCAAAATTTCAAATCTTTTATGGCTTGTGGAAGGTCTGGCAGTTTAATGTCCTTGATTTGCTGTGGAATGTTCATGCTTTTGACAACACTAACCGCACGCGCTGGCGCCGCTGAGATTCCTGATTCCTGTTTGATCAACTTATTTTGATCTTCAATCCGCGTGATTATGTCATTCATATTTGTTTGCAGCACCATTCCGCCCATAACGAGCTCCGACAGAATATGATGAACGGCATCAGCGTGAAATATCAAATCCAATTCGCACACATTTTCAAAACACTTATCCAGAGTTTCGACAAACACCTGTATCAGATCCAATATACCCAGCTCACTCTCTGAGGAATCAACACAGAAGACAAAGTAGAGTGTGGCATAGTGTCGGTATATCAGCTTGTAATCGGAGCCGCCAATTAAGCTAAGGGATTATAATTTTTAATTAATCTATAGGAATTCTTTAGTTAATTAGATTTATACATCTGCCGCAATAGTTTTGCTGGGGGTATTAATTGGAGGTCAAAACTATCAAAAAAAAATTTCGTCGCTGCAGATAAGGCTTTTTTTTTATATTTATATTATCAAACAAATTTGATGTATTATATTTTTCATATGATAACAATATGAGGATTAAAACATTAAATACTATAAATGGCTTTTCGCCAATTGATCGAGTTTGGACTTTCCTACAGTTTTACTTCAATTTTTATTTTAATAGTGAATACCTTTGTTGCTAATTGATCAATTTACATCAAATGCATTGATCATACTTGTTTGGGTTAGTTTAACTTTATGTGATTGCTGAAATGACTAGCTGTATGTTCAACACATATATTCAGAAGATTTATGTTAACCTAGAATTTTACTTATATTCTATATTATTGTAATTTTACCTGCCGCCTTCCAGAAAATTGCAAACGTTATCATCGCGCTTTGAGACTAGCTGAAACGTCTCTTTAATGATTTGTTGTTGCAGACTTTCATCCTAGTTAAAATAGAATCAGTTAATTTGTGTACTTTATAGTATAGTATAGTATATGTTTTAGCACAGATATATACCAAATATAAATATATACCAACAAATATTTACATTTTAAAACAAATTCAAAACAAACTTGTATGTACTTCACCCACTCTTATTTTTGCTACGTATTGTTTTCACTTTTTGTTAACATACGAAAGTAATGTACATCTACTCGAAACGCTTAATACTTACAAAATATTGATAGAACTTTGATAGACGAGGTTTCCCATGATTGTTAAATACAAGTATAGCTTTTATCATTTTTAATTGTGAAAAAATCACAAATTAGAGATTCGCAAAATCTTATTGTAACATATGTTAGTATTGATGTTTATTATTAGCGATGACACTAAAACTATCGAGCCGGTAAAGAATCGATAAGCTGAAAGATTTTAACCAAGCCATTTCCACTGTGCAGCATTTCGTTTTTGCTTTCGAGGCCAACTACAGATTTCTCTGCAGTTACTAATTGCTGTAGTATGGCAAGTTTATGGTAAGAGAAGTCACATAAATTATTACTTTTGGGCTAAAAATTTAATAACTTAAGGCTGGCGTTCATTTCGTTTGAGTTTGACTCACGCAAGTATTTGTTTGCATAGCCTAAACACAATATAAGAAACTAAACGCAAAATAATAATTAAACACCGCCCTACTCCAATATCCGTGAGACACGCAAGTGTCAATGCGACGTCTTGGCTCTTAAAGCAGTAAAGGGATAACAAAATTTTGTCTATTGCCTAATTGCCTAATATCAGGCGATGATGACCAAACTAATGTCATAAACAAATTAATTTAAAATTTTGTTTATTAAACAAATTTGAGAACTCCATTGTTTAACCCAATAAAATAATTTGTATGTTTTTTTTTAATCAAGCAATATTTTTACTCTTGTATTTCACTTTAAAACACCAATTATAGTTTTGTTAACATTTAAAAGCAACATCAAATATAATACCGTAACCATTATTTATTGTTAATAATGCACAAAAAGCCAGAAAAAGGGTAAAACAGCTTAAAATGATTTTAAGCTGCGACCGATAATTCTAAGCGCGGGCAGTTGGGAATGCCGCACTCAAGATCTGGACAGTTCTCGTGATGGAAGCAGCTGTCGCTACTGCAAAACATGCATCCGTTGGGCGTTAGCGGCACATTTGTAGAGAGCTTGAGCGTATCCCACACCTTCTTCAAGTCCAAAACTAGAGCGTTCATCATTTCGAAAGTATGGAAGGGTGTTGGAGCCAAACGAAGTTTTTCCTCACCGCGAGCAACTGTTGGATAATTTATTGATTGCATATAGTGTCCGTACTGGTCCATAAGCATATTTGAGATTTGACTGCATATAAGGGGATCTCCAATTTTTATTGGAATAATGTGGCTTGGCGTATCTTCAACAGGAAAACCTGAAATAAAATTAAATATATATTAAAATAAAGTTATTGGAGTTATTCAAAAAAATTAATAGCAGAATATTTATAATATACTTTTAAAATGCATTAGCATTAAACATTTTAAAAGCTAACGTAACAGTTGCATATAACTGCAGTAAATTAGTCTGTTCTTTGCCTGTTACATAGATAAGAACATTCTAGTCGCTGAAACTATAAATATATTTAAAGAAATTGAAATTCTACTATCAGGTGCTGTAATTGATTACATAATACATTTTTACAGGCCACTAGCCAATTTGGTAAATATAGTCTATGTGATTTGCCACGATCTTAGTTGGCAAAGGAAAAGTACTTATATCAAATGTCAACAATGCTCATCAATAATATTCATTATATGTGCAGTTTTACTAGTTAATTTGCTTATTTTTTTGGTCAGATTGGAAAGGAAAAAAAAATATGTATATGCATATTTAAAATTAGGAAAGATATTTAAGTTTCGGAATGCTCACATATGAAAGGAAATGGGCAATAAATTTCTAAAAATGTTCGTGTTGCGAATTTAAATTCTTTGCGATATGCATGACATGAATATATACGAGTATTTATTTTAAATTACATGACGCTTTTTGTAATATTATCTATCAAAATTTTGTTTATATAAATAACAGATAATTTTACTAAAAATATATATATGTATATATTAGCGTCGTCATCGTTGTCAACATTTTTCTTATCAAGCAACATTCTTGTGGTGTAAGCATTATCTGCCTGTTGTAATACTAATATTGAGTATAAACAGTAAAAACGCACATGGCTAAATTTACTCAAGTCATGCTACATGTTCAATATTTTCATATATTGAGCAAATTATAAAACAATATATGTTATTAGTTATGTGTCATATTTTAGTCTCAGAACAACTAAACTGCTCGAATTAAAAGCATATTAAAATGCCATTCCGAACTAATATTTTCAAAAACAGACAGCTAACATGACTCAGCTCGTTGAGCCGAATTTATTTACTTTAGTCGTATGCTAATGCAAATGCTAATGAATGCTGATAGAATATACAATTTTCAAAATGCAAATTTACCTTCTCGTTTGAGCAGATTCTTCAAGTACGAAACATTTCGTTGATGGATACTTCGCAGTTGTCGACCTTCCTCCGAGGCCAGTATGGTCACAGCTTCAAGTGCGCCACAGAGAACAGTTGGCGGCAATGACGTAGTGAATATGAAGCCAGCAGCATAAGATCGCACCATGTCAACCAGGGCACCAGTGCTGGCTATGTAGCCACCAATGTTGCCATATGCCTTGCCTAGGGTACCCGAAATAATGTCCATTTTAGAGAGCACGCCGTCACGTTCCCCGACCCCAGCGCCATGGTCGCCGTATAGTCCAACCGCATGGACTTCGTCAATGAAGGTAATGGCTCCGTATTCATGCGCAACATCGAGCAGTTCTTCTAATGGGCATATTGCACCGGTCATGGAATGCACAGTCTCGAATGCAACTATTTTCGGTGTCGCCTTGTCCACTTGTTGCAGCAGTTGGCGTAAGTGATTGACGTCGTTATGTCGAAAGATGTGCTTGGGTACGCCACTATTTCTTATGCCCATAATCATAGAAGCATGATTACCAGAGTCCGAGAATATGTGGCAATTCGGCAGTAATTTCGCAAGCGTAAATAAGGTTGAGTCGTTGGCCACAAAGCAAGAGGTAAAGAGCAGCGCCGCCTCCTTTTGATGGAGATCAGCAAGCTTCCTTTCAAGTCGCTCGTGATGCAATGAGTTTCCTGATATGTTACGTGTTCCTCCAGCACCAGATCCGTGCCTTTCCAATGCCTCCTTGACAGCATGTTTCACCTGGGGATGCGCCGACATACCCAGGTAGTCATTGGAGCACCAAACCGTAATGGGTTTCTCAGACTGCGAGGAGTAATCGAGAGCATGGGGAAAAAGGCCATCACCAGCTAAGCGATTCACTCGTTTAAAAACACGATATGAATGATCTCTTTTCTTTTTTAATATTTGCTCGTTGAAAAACTTTTCGTACTGGAAAGTTGAATTTTCTGCAGCTGTGCCAATTTCGTTTCCACGGCCACGTCTTACATCATTTATTGCCGAGCTAGCACCAACCGAATAGCTTTTCGAAGAGTATGACCTTGCGGACTTCACAGAATTTGGAATTGGTGTTAAAAGAGAAAGTTGTTTTTGGGTTGTCTTATTGGATTTGCTGATAACTGGACAGAACACTCCATACGATTGGTACAATATCTCGGCATAATTGCGTAGATAATTTGCACTGAAACGATTCAGGAACGGGCACTGCATAGTTGAGCGAGCGTTTTATTAAATGAACGTTATTGGACTTCGGCGCAAGTTCAAATTATGCAAGAAAACCGAAAGTTGCAAAATATAAATGAGAAAACTAGCGATGACCAAATCAGGCGATATATCGATTGCATCTGACCATATGTGCTCAGATATATCGATTGCTCCCACAATTATTCGTAATATGAATTTTTCTGAATTGGACTCCTCTTAACTTTGCTACTTAATATACTATATTATTTTGTTTTTGATTTTGTATTTTATTATATATCACATCATATTCATAACTTACTTATTCAATTGGTGCCTTAACAAATATTGTTTAATCATTGAGGAAATTGGATTCATATTGTCAACCGAGCAGTAGCTGAGATACTTTAGGCTTTAACGGCTCTATAATTTTACTTTAAAAACAACTTACTTACTGTGGCACTTTTAATTCTAGTCCTGGAGACTTTGTATAAAATACCTTTAATTATAAAATAAATAAATTGTTCTGCCTCAATAAGATTTCAAAACCAATTTTATTTTTTGGATAAAAAATAACTTCTTTACAATACAAGAAATGCAAATTCTAAAAATAAACAATATTCAATTTACAATTTTTAAATTTGTATTTTTTAAATATTAACCAAAATGATCAGCTTTTATCCTTAAACAAAAATTTCTGTATTATAATGATTGCACTTGCATTAAGGATTTTGATTCAATATTATTACATTGAAAGTTTGTTTTTATTTTTGTTTTTAACAATATAATCAATTTTTTTGTGCCTAATTTCTCACTTTTTGTGAAATTCAATATTTAATAAGGTGTACTTCAATTTACTTTTGGAGTAGTGAAGAGCTTAAGCTTTTCCGAAGCTTGACGAAAGTACCGATTTATTTTATTATACATTTATCTTCTTTTTGTTGTGATGCAATATTATTTTAATTTTGATGTGTTGAGTATGTTTTCTATGAAAAATAATATTGATTTTCAATTATGTACTATATCAATTAAATTTGATGATGACATGTGATAAATCATATAGATCTTTTACTGATGAAAAATAAAAGACATTAAATGAAGTAAATGTTTCACATGGATTTTTGTTTAGGGTTTCGGAGGCGTATGTTTCCGAATTTTGCGAAATAGTCAACAACTTGTATGGCTAAGCCTCATATACAGATATGCGTGAATTCTATATTAATCTATATATTTCTTATACTCATGTGTTTGGAAAATGTGTTTGAATGTAGAAAAATAATTAAAAAAATTTTCGTGAAAAAAAAAAAAAACAACTTTTGCGTTACACGCTTTACAGTATTTTAGGTTGATAGCTCGGTAATCCGATTCCTGTACATTGTATTAATGAAATTCGTCTAACTTCACTTAGTCTGAATGCCCTAATAATGAGAAACCAAACCTTGTAAGTACTTAACTTTTAAGAGTATTATTCAATTTTTGTTGTATTTTGGACAAACAATAAATTCGAGCATTTTAACCAACATAGGCGAATGGGGGATATGGGGGAGGATAGAAGTTTTGGAATGATCCAGAGTTTTGAATGGGAATCGTAGCTGTTACCAGTTTCGAGACTGCTGTGGGAACAACAGAGGTGGAAAATAAGGTAGTGTAAGCAGTTCTTGCACCAAATGTTAGCTTAAGAACTTTGCTACTCGTGGCTGTGATGAGCGTTTCATAAATAGAAGTAGACGTGATTAATTGAGGCTGTGGAATTCCCAATAGAGGATTATAGAAGGGATTTATGGAATATGGAAATTGTGACATAGGTGGCACTGGCAAGGAAATTGTAGAGACTTCAGTGACAAATTCAGTTTTTTTCACCTCCCCAACAGACTTCGACAACGTTCTTAGAATACTTTCAGTACCCCTTACGAGAGGTATAACATACGATTCCCAAACTGTATCAATCTTAATGATTGGACGTGTGGTAGTTATAACACTATTAGGTTGGCCTAATATTTCTGGTTTGATTTCTGATTTACTAAGCAATTCGGAGTCAACAGGATTTATCGCATTTGTAACATTTGAGATACCATTCGCATTCGGCTTAGCCTCAAACTGGCCAGAGTTGCTCTCATCGCCGAATTCAAGATCCAAGTTAATTTCGGAGCCTGCCTCATCCAAAATGCCCTCGAAGTCTTTAAAGTTTTTGGCAGGAACAAAATTATCGCGGAACGGCGAAATCGTCTGAGTTACAGTTACAAAGCTTGTATAATCGTAAGTTTGCACTAAAGTTATATGCGAAGTCTCGTTCAGCTTATCATTAATGATTGGCAAAATTTGAGTCTTCAGTTTGGTTTGGGTGAATGAAAACGATTCCGTTATTGTCTCAAGTTCCGGTGTTTCAAGGCTATCTGTATAATGAATAGGCTTCAAGGTGGTAACAATTCCATCCATTGATGGCTTAACCGTCTGAGTTGTAGACTCCAAAATGTTTTCAGTTAAAGGTCCATCGTGTTCCGAATACTCCTCAATATGATCAGTTTTAAGTGTTTTCTCAAATGTCGAGGTTACAGTGACAAATCGTGTTTTTTTCACAAGCCCAGCCTGTAGAAAAAAAAGGTAAACAAAATTCTTAATTAATTGGGTATACAAATATAACAAAAAAGTATATAAAGATAAATTAATTAAGGTTTATAAAAAAATTCTTTAAAATATTAGAGAATATTTTCATTCGCCTTACTGACATAGAATGGTGGCAATTTCATAGTAGGTATCTTCAAAATTGCTCGGAGTTGAGATTTCGACATTTAAAGTTTGCACGAAATTATTGGGCTTTATCACATCGTTGTCGGGCACAATTGTGTTTTGTGAGCCAACAGCATCCAAATCTCTGTTGAGGTCAATGGTCTTTTGAATTTGCGGGTTGTTCTCAACTGGTTCCACGAGCGGATCAATTTCTTTGAGAGCCTCTGTTTGTAGTTCACTTCTGGCCATATTCGGAGAGCTTTTTCTGATATTCACTTTTGGCTTTGGAGATGATTTATATTGCCAACGGCCTGGACGACGATTCAGCTTCAATGTACTCGGACTGAAATTTGTTACGTTATTATCTTCAGAAATCAGATTCGTTTTGGTTCTATATGAGCGACGAGAACTTGTCTCCACCTGGGACGGCGTGACCTGAATTATAGACGACTGCGTCGATTTATTCCGCCTGAAAAGAATAAATGAAATAAATAATATAAAATGTAATGAAGATCCTATGATAATATAACTATACATAATACATATATGATATATTCATATATGATATATATAATTTTACCTCTTGCCCTTGTTCCTGGATAATTTTCTTTTTTCTCCTGAAACCCGACTATTTTTACGAGTACTCTTGGTAGGCACATGGTTAGATTCGACGGGCGTCTTGTAATTTGGCAGAGATGGCGTCACAGTCTTCAGTACTCGAGCTGAAGTTGTCGAAGTGTGGCGAGGTTTGCTTCTTCGTTCAGTGCTCGAAATTGGCTGATAAATTTGTGAAGTTTTGCCCAACGTTTTGGCAGTTATGATTGCCGTTTCCTTTGATGGGGTATTTGAGCTTCGACTTAGACTATCCTTTTTCCTTTGCAGCAAGCCCGTTGAGCTGCCATAATTATTGCGCTTGGAATGATCGGCACGTGTATTCAAATTAACCAAGCGAAATGTTTCTTCGGCGAACTCCTCCGGCTGCCGCGAAAGCAAAGCATACTCTGAGAAATCAACTGACTTGATTGGCGTATTGAGCAAACTTATGTGACTGCTTATAGCAATCGTAGAATTCGCTGTCGGTTGTTCATTTAGACTTGAGCTCAATAGCGGAGTTGGACTTATGCCATTTTTACTGTCTTTAGTTTCCGGCACATGCGGCTTGGTGTCAATAATATCCACAGGCTTCGCAGGTTTCTGAGGTGTCAAATCTGAAATGGAATTGAATGGGAAATATATGAAATATATGAAATCTTCTTGCTTCTTCTGATCTATTTATATATATGGATTGGTATTTAGACCCATTTCCTATTCAACTTTCAGTTATTTATTGGGAACTTAGATTCCAGACAAACTTACCGAGTAGAGGAGAGCTTTGCGGCGAGAAGACCATAACAGTATTGCCAATAGTTGTTGTAAAATCCAAGAAGCCATAAACAGTTTGTGTTAATTTTGGAACATCAGAACAGGCAGCTGTAACGGAAATTAATTTCATTATAAATATTAATTCTGTAAACAAATATGAAACAAATTACTTACCATAGTTCGCAAGCAAAATAAGAAATAAAAGATACGTCATTTTGATGCATTTATTCCGCTGGGACGCGGCTCATTGGTTAATGATCGTATCTAAAAAAAAGACGTCAATTAAAATCTTTACCTTGAAGCTTTTAATTTTAAATATATCTATTAAATATATAAATATTTTAGAATTTTCTAAAATCTGTATACCCTTTTAAGAAACCATATACCAATTGCTTAAGAATGCCTTAAATATATATGTGTGTGGCGAATATATAATAAATTATATCAACTGGAATTTAATTTAAAACAGACATTTCTGTATTCTGTAAAGAGGCATCAGACAAAAATAAAAAGACTTAAAGGAAACTCTTGTTTCCCGTGATCAACAAACTTTGCCTTTACAAGCTCATGTATATATATTCTGTTACATACGGGTGATAGGATCTATTACTGCATCCATGCACCAACATTTCCATTAAGAAGACCGCAAATCCTGATCAGAAAAAGTTTATTTCCTGATTTCCTCTTGCCTAGGGCCTTCTCGGTCCACTGTAATTTGATAATATAGTTTTTCCTGTTATTACTTACGATGACATTAATGATGCTACATTCTATTATGTGGATCCCTAAAAGATATTTCCCTATAGCATATTTTTGATGGTCAGATCATAGTAGAAGATAGAATGGAAAGAATTTGGGGTGTGGAAATTGAAAACTAACAAACTTATACGACAAGCGTAAGACCATGCACACGTTCTTAGTCCACTTTTTATAATCTTTTAAGTAGCAGTTATTTTTAATAACAAAGAAATATACGTTTTTCCTAAGGCTAGAAATAAAATGGCAACCTTCACAAAACCTGATTTTAAGCCAAACAATGCGGGTGGTACTTAAGGCATGGCTAGTTGCAAACCGTATTCCACAATTGTAAAGCTGGCGTCATATAATTGTTGAGGCAAACCTCTGGCACGCCTCATTATAACTCACTTTAAGACTGTTCGGCCAAACGAGTAACAAAAACTTGAAATTCGAAATTAACAGAGACCTCACACGCACAGTTTGCCACTATTTGCTACCGATATCTCTTGCCATTATCTTATTATCGATAAAATCGATCATTTCTAATGTTTTTTTTAGACATAGCTTCGCAAACCCAAAAGCTAAACACATAACATTTTATATGCAAATTCCAGAAATTCCTTGAAGCCTCCGAATTTTTGTAGCTTTTCATATTTCCCACAAAAACTTTATAAAACTTAATTGACAATAATATAACATACACAATAAACTCTTCGGTTTTGGTGCTAGCACAGATTTGGACGTTACATTATCGTATTAAATGTTTTGAAATAAACAAAATACCGATTCAAACAATTTTTAGTACAGGGTATCTATTCATCAGACACAGTTTATCACATTTTCAACACACACAAAATTTCATTTAATTTTTTTAATTAACACGGAAACAATTATAGAAAACGTCAACGACTTTACTTTCATATTTCAGATTATTTAATTATAATTAATATTATAAATTAATTTACACTTGCTCTAAGCTAGAAAGCAAAACCGTTTGCAACATAATATTACCTAAGTGGCAAAATACATAAGTGAATGTATATATACTATATATGCGCGCACACATTACAGAGAATAACAAACGTACGTGTGTATGCGTGTGTGTGCATGGGTGGATCGATGTGTGTGTGTGTGTGTGCATGGTTCAATTGGTGGTAAGCAACGTACATATGTATGTATTTATGTATCTATGTGTGAATGCAGGTAAATAAACCAAAATGAATTAAAATTATGCACATAAAACACTTGTTTTCATTGAATAGTTAGATTATAAACGAATAAATCTGGTTTAGAGTTGATAATTTAGTAAAAGTAATTCACACTTTGTAAATGACCATGAATGAAAGTTACCTCTCTTCTTACTTTCAACTCAATTAGATTTCTTTTTTTTCTAAATTTATAATATGTATTTAAATAATATTACACTGAAAACACCAATAAAATTTAGAAGAAACCAATAAAAACTGAATATTTGCTTACTAAAGGTAATGTACACAGGTGGCAGCTCCTAAGACACAGAAGAATGCAATGATCGAGTTACATATGAATGTTTGGACATTAGGGTGACTCAAGATTTGAACTAAAATTATTTATATAATAAATTATATATTACATTTCAGAATTGGTTAGCTTAAACAATTTATTTTATTTTTATTTAAA